AATAGAGGTCCCAAAACAGATCCTTGTGGAACCCCTGCACTTATAGCCAGTTGTTCTGAATCAACACCATCAAAAGTAACTCTCTGTGCCCGTTTAGAAAAGTAGGACTCAAACCACTTTAGAGCTACCCCCCTCACCCCATAGGCTTCCAGCTTACATAACATTATTGCCTTGACTAGCTTTTCTATTACTTTAGACATTGTAGGCAACAATGAGATTGGCCTAAAATTTGAGGGTGTATCGCAGTCACCACCCTTGTGAAGAGGTAAGAGCTTTGCAAGTTTCAGACAGGAAGGGAAAATCCCTGATTGAAAGGACTGATTCACAGAATCAGCAAACACCTCTAGAACCGATTCGGGCAAATGCGCAAAGACCTTCAGCGTAATCTCATCCCATCCCGCAGAATTTTTATTTTTAATATCTTTTAAGGTGTCTCTGATTTCTTGTGTTGTAGTAGGTTTAAAGAAAAAAGACTCGGATACGCTTATGTGACTTAGATATTCTCTAGGGTTAGTCCCAGAACTAATTTTGCTAGAAAGAGAAGCCGCAATCGAACAATAAAATTTATTAATTTCCGTGGCAGTCAAATTTGAGTCCATTGGTGAAGTATTCTTTTTTCCTCTTAAGTTATTAACAATTCTCCATGATTCCTTTTGTTTGTTGCCAGCCATCTCTATCCTATTTCTAAAATATAATTGCTTAGCGGTTTTAACTACTTGCCTATATATTTTACGATATTTGTTGAAAAAAAGCATAAAACCATCATTCCCCAAATAAAACTTCCTAATGTAATGCAAAGAACGCATATTTCTAGCCGATACTCTTATACCTTTTGTAATCCACAGCTTTTTACTCTTACACTTCTTGGTTCTAAGCGGAAAAGATCTATAAAAAACTCTCAACAAAGCAGAATGCAACTCCGACCAAGAATTCTCACATCTACCAATCTCGGTCCAGTCTGTCTGCTCGCAGAGTCTCAAAAATGTCTCAAAGTTACCTGTAGAGTAAAGTCGTTTGTACTCTTTTGGCAGTTTAACTGTGCCATAATCACATTCCACCTCCAGTCCACACACAACCGCCTCATGATCGGAAAGACCCGCACCAACTGTTGAACAACTCACTCTCCCTTCATCAGAATTTGTACAAATATAATCCAACAATGTCGCTGAATTCGCAGTAATTCTAGTGGGTTCCTTCACATGTACTTTTAAATTAATAGAGGAGAGTAAGCCATTCAAAGTCTGCACTGAAGCCGATCCTGTATCTAAAAAGTTAATATTTAAATCTCCTGTCAATATTATTAGGGCATTCAAAGGTAGGCTTGTTAAAAGTTTTTCCAATCTGGCAAAAAACGCATCAACATTGCTTGAAGGAGGTCTATAGATACACAAAACATAAAACAAAGGTCGCAAACAACACACAATTGAAAATTCGAATTCCTTTTCAATTATTAAACTATTATATCTATCTACATTGATTATTTTAAATACTTCAAACAATCTCTGCTGTACCATTATGAGTGTTCCACCATGCACTGCATCTGACCTACCCTACAATATTTAGATATTAAACTATACTGTTGCAAAAATATCGGCTCATCATCCCTTAAAGGGGGTGTGACCCAAAAATGAAAGTTTTAGTGCAAAAAAATCTAAGAATAAATATTTAAACCGCATGTTGCTACGATGGTTCGTTTCCGAGTTAGGGCCGTTTAAAGTTACAACTACGCTTTTGTGACGTCACGCTGGATTATCAGGGACAGTATTAACACGTGTAAAAATCTTCCAAAACAAAAGGCAATTATCTCTTAGAGCAAATTGCAACCACTCAAAGTATAGGGTACGGTTCACTGACGACCAAACGAACAGAAGACAGCGATTTCGGCGGTTGTGACATCACAAATTCCTGCGTAATTTATCTTCACAACGCGTTTTCTCGGAAACTATTTTGAATATAGGACTGCGGTTTTCATGAGAGATCTTAGAATTTTTTTCTTGATTTAAGTAGCTTAAGTCGTTTTTTTGGGTCACACCCCCTCTAACCAGTGCTCAGTGAGAAGAACAATGCCTGGGTAGTCTAAATCAGCTAAAAACAATTCCAATTCTGAAACTTTGTTTTTCAAAGATTGTTTATTTAACAACACTAGGTCAAGTTTTTTACCACTTGACCCCTGTCTAAAAAAAGTGTATAACTAGTGCATTGAGGCTTTTTGTTTGAACTTCAATATTAATATTATCCAAGTCTCCCTGCATACAATTACTGACATGACTATCCAAACTTTGGACATAAAAAGCAGAGGCACTACATTCAACGGTAATCAGAACCGATTTCAAAACTAATTTTCTACCAAGAACTGCACTAGTTTCAACATACAAAGCAAGCAGTTTGCTCAGCGACCGAAATGTGTGTCTGTATCTAGAATTTGCACATGTATTTGAAATTAGTCTTATACTACAATTATTTTTTTGAACATATTCTGACACAAACCCACTCAATTTATGAAATCTTGCCTCTGGATAATCCCTGAAATAACACTTCAATATTAATACTAAATTCGTGGTACTACCCATAGAAAGGATCCTCCCAATATCAGCAATGCTAGGGGATGGGAAATTTAAATTTAAACTTACAATTGTATCATTTTCAGTCAAATCAAATGATAATAAAAACATCCTTTCCACAAGACTTTTCATATTGAGACCATTATAAACATACCCTTTTATCATGTGAGATGAATTCACAAGTTTAGACATAGTCGTGGACAGGGATCTTGCGCTGGAGTCTCCGCAAACAATGCATTTTCTGGGCACACAATAAGAAGCATTCGCCTGATGTCTCGCAGTTTCCATTTCTTTATCCAAGGTGATGCAGTCTTTCAACACACTGTTGTCATTTATCAGAGTAAATGAGTCATCTGAGTCATCTGCGGCAGTGGGTTCACAACACTTTGCAAGATCTTCTGAGGGTCTAGCTCCAATTAAAGACTGTTGATGCCCTATCATCTCCAAACTATCACACCTAGATTTAGTTGTTTTTAATTCCTCCTTAGCATGTAGTAGGTTTACTTTCGCACTCTTCAGCTCTTCTAACTAGGATTTCTTTTCTTCTGAGAGCACTTGGATGGTGGTCAGCATATTCTTGTTGGTTTCAGTTATCTCCCCAAGATCCCCTTCAAGTCTACTGACAGTTAATCGACATTCCTCAAGCTGTTTGTCTAAGTCCAAATTAACAGTGATAAGATTGGATACATTCTGATTTAGTTGAAGTATTTCTCCTTTTTGATCATTAATTTTAGCTGCAAGTTCCTTTTCTGTGTTGCAAGCGATGTTCTCAAAATCTTGCGTTCTCCTGTTAATCCTCTTAATGTGATCAGCTTTAGCTTTATTATCAGCATAAAGCTTATCAATTTCGTCTTGAAGTTCATGCGTTTCCTTGTAGCATTTGTCCTCCAGCTCCTCGAACCTTTTATCCTTTTCAGCAGATTCATGTTTTATTTTCTCATAGTTTTCCAAGAGTGTTTTATACTTTGTTGAGTCGCTAATATGCTCCTTTAATGATATCTTGCATCCTTGGCAGAAAAAGTGATATAAAAACAGGCATAAAAAATATTCAAATATTTTTAGAAAGAAAAAATTGGTAGCGGACTATGTACTATTTGTTTCCTATTATACTTTTTTATTTATTTGGCTTTTGAAAATTTGCATAAATAGCCCCAATGCCTTAACCAGTGCCAATGCCAACTTGAATCAAACCCGAGATCAAACCAGCATGAAAATAATTTAAAAATTAAAATAATTATGACTCATATTATAGCATGTGTATTTTTTGTCAAGCCAAAATCATGGCCGAAGTATTATCACCCTATAACCACGCATAATGTAAAACATTTTAGACATTTAAGGCCGGTTTATTCGCATTTTAATAAACCGTCAGGTATGCAATCTGACGGATAATAACGCAATCTCTAATCCCATTAGTCAGTCAATTATCTGCTGACCTATAAAATTATAGAACAGTGAATTTATCTTGCAGATAATTACCAGCAAGTTTATCTGAAGATGAATGAACCGGGCCTTAATAATTTTCTTTTGTCATTTTACTAAAAATTATTTTCATTGTCCTTTCTTTTATGCATTGTCTCGTTTGGATTGGCTCTGGCTCCAAATCAATTGGATTTGGGTATGAGACATTATGTACTCTGTACTGAAAATTAAACAAGAAATTTGAAAATATATGAAAAACTGGTGGTTTATAAAATCAAAGTTGATACCGGGCAGCTATTTTTGGGACACACCCTGTAGAATAACAGACAATTGAAAATTGTACCATTTTCAAAATAGGTAGTTATTTGCTTAGATTATATTCTATATATTACCTAATGAATTTATGAATTTGGGTATTGTGATACAGTAAGTAGGTGAAGTATGGGGTGGGTATTAGGTTTGAGACTTGTAAGAAATAACATTTGAGGGTGCGCTGCTAGTCGAGAAAAAAATCAAAATTTTTTTGGCGTAATATTTGAGAGGAAAATGCGGATATTATTTATTTTCTCCATTTTCTTATTTTACTCTTTTGTTGGCACATGACCAAATCTGATTTTGTGGTCTAAATATTTCTACATAATATTGGTTTTAAAAGAAACTAGAATTAGATTTATAAAAGATTTCAAATGCAAAGTTAGTAGCTAGTGTTTAGGTACTTAATGTGGAATGATGAGACATGATTTTGGACTTTACTGATCAAAACGTGACAATTATTGAAAATAAAGTTCACTTGCACAAAAGTAAAAGACAGCAAAGCAAATCTTTCTTGTCTGTGTTTAGATCTCATGCAAAGATGCAAAGTCGACAAATACATATTAATGAATACATAGTTATATTAAATTAAGATTCTCTGCTCAAAAATTTAGTACAAAGGGAAAAAAGGCCTGATGATTTTATGATTATGTATACATATTCATAGATTTTCTTTGCTTATGTTTTGTCTTTTTTTTCTTCCAGGCTCAAAGCGATGATGATGACGTTGGGACTGACGACGTCGCGGTCACGGTGGAGGGCCGCGACGGTGAATTCATGAATCAGTTCTTTCAAGAGGTAAGCAACTATATCCACAAGTACTAGTCACTTTTTTGCCAATAAAAATTCTCAAATTAGTACTCACGAACTCCAGGTATTCACTAAGAACTCAATTTTCAACAATAGGCTACAACTTTTATTGAACTAATAACAAAAATTCGTTTATCCCAAAATAACTCACAGACTATGCGCTTTTTAAATGGAAATATTTGATCGGGCATTCTCCAGAATCATCAAAAAATGTTTGTTCATTAAAGGATACATTGAAATAATGAAATTTTGGAATATTCACACTTTGGTTCCTTGAGGTAAACAACCTTGCTAGCCTTTCCGCACCGTTGTAATTTTGTAACAATATATTTGTTTCCTTATAGGTGGAAGATATACGTGAAATGATAGACAAGATCCAGGCGAATGTCGAAGAAGTCAAGAAAAAACACAGTGCCATTTTGTCAGCACCTCAGAGCGATGACAGTAAGTAATCATACCAATTTTACTGTAGATTTTCCTCCATCGAAATAAGATATTTATAATATTTTGTTCTTTGATTAATTGGGAAAACATAAACTCTTTGATTCATAATATAAGTAGACTGAGATTGGCTGTTGTGAATTGACCAACACGGTCCTGTGATCTAACACTGTTGGACTTCTTCTTGTGAGGATATGTGAAAGATAATGTTTATGCCAACAACCTTCTAATGATTGACTCGTTGGAAGACAATATTCGTCAAGTTATGACCGGGATAGGCCTGAAATGTGCCAAAAAGTTGTCAAAATTATCTCAACAGGATTGAGTCCTGCAGGAGGTCCCGTGGAGGATATTCAAATGATATTATAATTCACACATAATGGCAATAACCACACTTTATAATGCCATAAAAACTTTATCGCAATCTCAATCTTTAGTGTCTTTTTTTAAATTTATTTTATCAAGGTGAACTTGGATAACCCTATAGTATTATCAGACTGGCTTCAAATTGACTGCTGAAGCATCCTTCCGATATTCCTTAAATGTAAATTAGATATGCAACCTCAGTATTTCTAGGAATGGACCACTTGTGTTAGAAAATCACTGTAATTAAAGACTGATGATTGATATTGTTAGTTTTTTATCGAATAAATCGGAGAGTAAAATCCTCAATGACGTAAACGTGGTGGGTTGAAATTCTGATTGTTTTTATGGTATTAATTAAAACATGTATCATGCCATAGAAAAAACATATTGGTTGGCGTGAATTTGAATTTATTCTTAATATGTATATAGAAATTTCGTCACTTTTCAAACCGCAGGCCGGTGGTTACAGTAAAGAGGACAACGGCTTGGGTTATTATTTTTTATTTCTCACTACAACCTACACATTCTTCTTTTTCTGCCAATGAGTCACCTTATATTGCATTCTTTTATAGAGTATTTGTCGTTCACGTTTCAAAAGTGTTAGTAAATTTTTTGTTCCCGGTCTTATACCGGTTTTCCACTATACGGACTGTTGAGTTTGTGTTTTGTCTATGTTTTAAAACAAAAACAAAACTGAAACAAACACACAACTCTTGTTTCCATCAAGCGGACTACGTTGTGTTTTCTCGGGGAAACAAAGCTCTAACTGTCTCAAAACAAGCGAATCTTGAAAATGTTTGGGAGAAGTTTAACTTTGGGTTTTGTTTTTGTTTTGTCCATTCGGTGGAAAACCAGCATCAAGACTTTTCTAAAACAGTTCCAAATTCCTGGTCCTTGTTTAAGCGATTTTCGACTTGTTGAGGGAAATATTTCAATTAAACATTGCACATGACTTATATAAAATCCGCATGAAGAGAAAACACAAATAAGCACTAAAAATGTTTGCTTTTTCGTTTTTAGGTCAAGTGCCTTCCCTTGTCTCTAGACAATACTTACCTTGATACAAAATTAACACAAAAATATTCATGAGAATTAATTAATTAAATTAGGCATTTTAGCCTAACCAATTTTTTTTAATTTAATTTTTGATATTATATTAATCATTGTAAATAATCATATATGTTTTACTATTTTCCAGCAATCTTATCTGAAATGTAATGAGATTTTTATTAGAAAGTCTTATGTGATGATGGTGAGTCAGATATATTGTTGTTATTCTAATCCATAGATAACATCCCAACACAATAACAACAGTTTAGTTTTGTTCAAACCATTTTCAATTTTTTTAGAGAAAGATTAGATTGAATCTTTGATTAGACAGATTTTCGAGGTCTACTTTCTTCTTATCAGCCCGAGTATCAGCCTAATTGAGTTCACAAAATTCTCTAATCATTTATCGCTATCGCTTTTACTTAATTTTCTGAAATTCTCTCACTTTAACTAACTCTTACTCACAAACTTCGCACTTTATATTCGAAACCAGTCAAACGATAAAATAGTAGAATTTACTATTCTTGAAACTGTTGCTATTTAATGCAAAAAGTTAACCCACAATATTGACATTGTTTTGTATCGGTCTTACTCACATAGGGTCTTATCTTTTTACATAATAATATGGTATATCAGGTACCTCTCTGAGTACGGTACTGCTGGGCTGGAACTCTGTAACGGATAAGGATCGTTATCCCTATCGCTATGGCACTTGCTGTCTTCTTCTTTCTTATCGAAATCAATAGAGAGGAGATGTCAATAAAGATAGAGAAAATATCTCTATCCGTTACAGAGTTCCAGCCTTGACAGCCTGTATGTCAAATTCGTTGATTCGAACATCCAGGAACTGGTGAAGTGTTATCTCAAATTGTCTTGATGAATATAGTATGGTGGTTTGCACTGTTATCTGGACAATACAAAAGCGAAACTTTTATAAAGAATTTTTTTTTTCATTTAAGCCTTTGTTTTTCGTTAAATGAAAGGTATATTTGAAAAAGATGATTTCTAACCAAGTTTTTGCATGATTGAAACCGAGATATTTACGTTTAAAGCTTTTTTCGGCCATAAGAGCTAATGGTAATTATTTTTTTTGAATGATTATAAAAAAATACTCCCTACAAAAACCTTATTGTGCATTGGATCAGTAATAAAGTATTTTTTTCTCTATACAATGGTATCAATATCTCGATTTTTGATGAAGTGCCCTTTCGCGCAGTCTAATTTTGTATTACTTTCGGAATAAGGGTTACCTTATCATGAAATTTGATTCCTAAAAAATTCAGCTTGTGACAAAAAAGTGGGAGGTGAAACGATTTTTAGAGCGAATATTTTATTCCATCCACTCTACTAATAGTAGCGGAAATAAAAATACGCCATCAGTCAAACCTAAGCGACGTTTCGATAACGATTGTTCGCCGTTTTATTTGCTTACCTACTCATTTTGATTCGAAGTGATCCTCAACAAAATGCAGATTGTTTCGTTATGTAGAAATTGAAAAAGTTCTTTCTTTTCCATCGAAAATCTTTCTGATGAATCGACCCAGTTTCTGCTTGCAAAGCTGTAAGCTGTTTCCGCATACAAAAGGGGCTGTGGAGTGCTTGAAAATCCCCTTCGAAAAACGCTTAATCCACAATTTGTCAGGGGCAAACTGTTTATCATAGAAAATGAGGCCAGATCTAATTTTTCTTCAGTTTATTAGTAGTATCGTATTTTTGTATAATGGTTCTGTGTTTATAATTTTGATTAATAGGGTATTTTTGTTTCATTATTTATAATATATTATGTAATGAAATAATCATTCTTTAAATTTAAGGGAGAAAGAGGATAGGTTGCGTTTGTCTTTATATACCTAGTTGTATTGTTGTAATGTCAATAAAGTATTTTATGCACGAACGGGCGTGAAAGTGCACTTTTACGTCCGCATTTCATAGCGTGAAGTAGTACTTTTACGCCCTAGGGCGCCTTTTATGCCCGCGGGCCTGAAAGTTCTAAAATTTCAAAAATAAGCAAAAATTCGATGGCATATTTTTAAAAACTTTTTGCATTTCTATTGCTTAGTCCAATAAATACCAACTTTGTTCAACAAAACAAGCTTTATTTCAATTAATAAGAATAATCAAATAAGTAATAATAATAAAATTCAATCTACTTTAAATTTTTACAGTTTTTAACTTTTATAACTGGTATTTTTTCACAGAAAAACACAAAAAAACTGTTGCCTTTAACATTGAGTAACCGCTCCGTAGGGTGGATGGCTTATTTTTTTTGCATTTTTCATGAATGTATATGCCAAGAGAGTTTCTTCTACAAAGTACTGCTGCTCATTAACACCATGTTGGGCACACCAGGAAATAAAGTCCTTATGTGTTTTTTTATTATTGGACTTTGAAGGTAATAGATCTTCCTTGGCCTCTTCAACTGCCTCAAGAATAAACTTGGGGAGGCTATTTTGCTCCATTTCCAGACGCCAAACTACACATCATAAGAATACTATACACTCACACTACACAGAGTAAAATAATTCTTTGTTTGTATGGTTCAACCGCTTTCTTGATCTAAATTTGTCAAAAATTTACGACCTATATAATTTTTTAAATATCAAAATGAAAACATGCTCATCGTGCATAAAATATTTTATGCATCTCGGTCAAAAAGAGCTTTAACGCCCTCAACGTGTAAAGAGCCCTCGGCTAACGCCTCAAGCTGTTACACACACTGCAGGCGTTAAAGCTGTACTTTTTGACCTAGGTGCATAAATAACTATCATTTCCTACTCAAGTATTATAACCATATAATACCTTGGTTACAATAATCATAAACAGGGCCTTAAATCCCGCGCGGGAGTTAACGATTTCATAACTCTCGCTTTACCTTGGAAAGGTATAACTTTGGGAAAAAATAGAAATCTTGGTTTGTGGTTTATTCCTTTATGAAAATGGATGAAATACAGTAAATTCAGTAGGAGCAATTAGTGTCGCTCGGGCCAAAGGCCCTCGGGACACAAACTTTGCACTGGGGTATTAACACCGTTTCCCTTGATACAGAATTTTTCGCAGAATCCATAAATGTCATAATATACAGGGTCACATACATGTGAAAAAATATATTTTTTTGTTTTTTAAACTTTCTACAACACCCTGTATGAACAAGCCTATGTTTTCTGAGAACAATTTTTCAAGCACTACAACTTTCCTATTTACAATTTTCTTATACACAGTGGCACAAAACAGTTAAGGGGAGTGGGGAAATATAAGAAATGACCCTGTACATCACTGCTCGAATGATTTTAGTCTGCATATATGTAGGTGTCCATAAATAGACAAAAATCTGATTCGTATATTAACAGAGCCATTATATGTATCAAGGGCGATTATTTTCCAGCCTAAGACCTAACCTACATACATATTCCCATTTTGGAATATTTGGATAAATAAAAAAAACTCATATTTATAAAAATTAATTATTCCCTAGGCATGAAAATGTTCTTCTATTTTCCGCACACTGTGCCAGTATTAATGGGATAAAAGCAAATTGAGAATTTTTAATAATTCCCTACCTCTAGAAATGATTTAATCTAAATGCACTT